CCTCGTGCTGTAAGACTTAAACCAAGCTATGCTTTTACACTCGTGTCTCCTGTTTTTTTTTATACAGATGTGGCCGATAGGTTCTGCAAAGACCTTTCCTGGTCTTAAAAGTCTCTTCAAATCACACTTCACTTTTTATTAAGAATTAAAAAAAAAAGGAAAAAAGGGGGGGTTGGGGAACAAAAAGCTGCATCGTAAGAAGTCTGTCTGATTATATTTGCAACTATTATGCTCCCGTAATGAACAGTCTGTACTATGCTCAATTCAAAGAAATCACAATATGAGGGGTGGCCTGTGCCACCCCATGGGAAGGGGTGGGAGTGGGGGAAGAGGGGAATGAATTGAAAAATTGCCTTCCAGTGTACTAATTTATTAATAAATACTAGGTGTTTGTTACTTGATATGAATCTGTGTTCACCTCCTTAACACCTGCCTCTGTGTGGGGGCGCCTGGGTTGGAGCAGGGGCTGCTCAGGGTGCCCATGGGGGATGAAGAGGGAGATTTTGAGGGGTTGTCTCCTTTGGCTTTGAGGCCAAACTGTGGTTGCTTTCTGCTGACAATGCTGCCTTGAGTCCCCATGGTCACTGCCAGAGCTCTCTGCAGCTGGAAGGGAGATGCTTCCCTGCGGAAATGGTCCCTGCACTGAGCTAGGGTGGAGGACGTGCTAATCTCCGGATCTGGTGGCTGGTGGGGCTTCCAGGGTTGGTTTTTGTAAGCGCTCAAAGTCTTTGCAGGCATTTTGGGGGGGCTGCAGTATTAATTTTCCAGGATGCAACTGCTGTGCTGAGTCATTCCCAAGTGAAGGTCTTGCAGTCACAGCGTTTCTCTTGCCCTGGTACGTTACTGATGTCCTTAAAATCCCCACTTCCAAATAACTCATCCCTCGTTACTCTGCCTACAAACGGAAACCTTAATGGACAAATGCTTCTGGTTTATTGTACTGTCATTTTGAATACATAGTTTCCCAGTAACTAGGATGCCCTGTTTTACTTCGGGCTGGCGTTGAGATTTGCTGTTAGAGAACTATACATAGGTACAGGATTAAAACTTTTCAACACATGGACAGATGTAATTGAGTGCAAAATAGCAAGAGCCTTTATTGGAAGTGGCAGAGTGGGGTTTGCCCTCACTGGCAATGAAGTGTTGAGCCTGCAACACATCTTCAAAGCATCACAAAGTAATAGTGAGTGTGGCTTGTGTGCCTGGCTAATGCCAGGTTGCTGAAATCAATATTTTTGGGGTGGAGCCCAGCACCACCCTGTTGGCAAGTGTTTGGGTTTGTGGTTTTTTTTTTTTTCTATCTCCGTGTTGGGAGCGGTGGTGGTTGCTGTTGATCTGCCTGGGCAAGAATTGGCAAGGGGAGAGAAGGTGTGTGATCCTGGGCTCCATCGACAGCTGAAGGCAAGCACAAACTGCCAACTCTAAAGTATCCGTAGCAGGTTCTTGGAGTGAGTCTGCCTGGGAAAAATGGTCCTGGAAAGAGAATTTAGTGGCCATCTGAAAAAATGCCATGAAGCAGGCATGTCACGGAGGAGCCTTGGCCAGGAGAAGCCGAAGAGGCAGGAGGAAGCTATTAGAAGTGGACTGTGCTGTTACAATATGTTTATCTAAGTTTGGTGGCACATCCTGGGACAGGCCAAGAGTTGGGCAATCCTTGGCTCCATCTCCACACTGGATTTTGGTCTTGTCCTTGGCTTCATAGTTTCCTATTTCTGAGCTGTGCCCTCTAAGCAACCCCTTGCTGCATGTGTATGTACGTGTGTGCAATGCATTCATGATATACATTTAATATATACAAATATATAATAATATATACTACATAAATGGTTTTCTACATTACGCTAATGTATTTTAAATTATTATAATATATTTATCATTTATTTATTTTTATGTCTCTGGGGGTGTGTAGGGGAAATGTCTGAGAGCAGCTGAGCCGCACACATAGGCAGAGTATTTCCTGGCGGTGTGGGAGGTGTGAGGAGCTGCAAGCCCAGTGCTCCCACCCTTCCTCTGAGCCAGCTCTCTTATGCCTTGAGAAAATAAACCAGTCACGGATGGGTTTGTGACCTGGAGGCATAACTGTGAGGGTAGAGGCTGTCCTTGTCCTCGTACAGGGCTTATTTGAGGCATCAAGGGTGATGTACAAACCTTTCATGCTGCAACACCGATTGCGTGCAACTCAAATGGGTGAAGTTTTTGGCTGAATGGGTTTTGCAAGGCAAAGCTGTGAATATAAAGACCTTGATAAATTTATGTATGAAGATGCATTTTGTGCTAAAGATGTGTTAATAAAAGTACTCTCAGGTCTTTGTAGGTGAGCAGTGCAGGTTTGAAGTGTGCGCCTTGGCTTTGCCCCTTGCCTGGCCTTGCTCAGTCGTGATGTTTGCTCCTTTTCTGTCCTCCACCCAGGGACAGCCAGGATGAGGAGAAGATTTGGGTGCTGGAGTGGCATCCTGAATAGCAGAGTCTTTTAAACCAGAGGGGACGGAGAGCAGGACAAGAGCATGGCTGTGCTCCCTGACTCTGCCTGCTGTGGCCACCTTGCATTGAGACAAAGACCAAAATTCCTCATGTAGGTCACAGAAAACATCATCTGCTCCAGTCCTGCTTGTGCAGGCCAGGACACAAGGCATGAAAATTGCGTCTCTACCCTCGGTCACAGTGTTTGCTGTGACAAAAACCTCTGGAGGTGCCTCCAGCATGGCCTGGCAGCCTCAGGACTGGATAGCTCTGTTGTTCTGGGGTCTTTTAATGCCTCATCTATGGGGAGATCAGCAGTGATGCTGCCCTAGGATGCCCCATGGGCTTACTATGGGATCGTGGGGTTATTCAGGGGGTGCATGCTTATCCTGGGGGCTGTGAGGCCATGAGATACATGGGATCAGGGCACATCAGCACCAGAACGGCTCATGCCGAAATCTGGCATTGTTTGGCCGTGAGCTTTAAGTCATTGAAGGCTTTGCAATTGGGTATTCTTCTCCTGGGCTTTGCTCCTGCGAGTGCTGCGACAGTTTCCAGGGCAACTGGTAGGAAATGGGAAGATGGGGAAGAAATAAGAGAAGCCATCATCTGTGTATTCATCGAGTACATGCTGGTGGGGGCAGCTCCTGAGGTGTTGATCAAACCACCCTTTAGGACACAGCTTCTTCACCCTGTGAACATGTGAGGTTTACAGTTTCCTCCCTACTGCTGTAATTTAGTTTTCCCTTTCAGCCTCCCTCCTTTTCTTAAGCATTTTTCTTAACCAATATAATCCAGAAAAAGGGAAAAAAGCCCCAAATCAAACCAGTAGCATCCAAATAACATTGAGTAAGCCATTGAAGATGCTGTCCAGCAGTTCTGGCAGAGTCTCTGTGGGGTTTCCTAAATTTGCATCAACCTTTCTGCAGGTTTAGGTGCTGTTACAGTTGGGTGACGTTCTTGGCCCTTTTCTTTAGTTGCCAAAATTGCTCTTGTATCTTGTATCAGAGTTACTGGCTCTGCGGTCACTTAAGTGATGTCGGAGATGTTCCCCTCTCTGCTGCTCAGATTTCCTTTGGCTGCACGATTCACCTGTAATAATCTAACTAAAAATCAGAAGCTAGGCGTTCCTCTGATATTTATTGGAGAGGAAAAAGGTCTGTAAGTTTATAAAATGTTATGATCCTGTGAGGTTGTGGGTTTTTTCTAATTTTGTTTAAATTTCTTTTTAATTTTTCTTTATTCCTTTTATTTCTGTATTTCCCCGATTGTTAAAAAAGTAAACCTCTTATTTCAGGCATGACTGAAGCCTTACTGACCCCCACATTAACTCACAGCAGGTGATTTACAGTCACAAATGCACAAATCATGGCACTTTCCTGTTGGTTTTTCTTTCTTGGACGCACATGAGCTCCTAACCCAAGGACCTCACCCTGGGAATGGCTGGGAAAGGGCTGGAGGTGGAGAAGAGCCCTGGGAGTGACCCTTTTTAGTCCAGGAGCAGGAGCTCCTTGGTCCATCTGGGGAACTCAGCCAGGCAGGGCTCCTGCCCAGATTTTGGTATAAAAAGCAGGTGGTTAGACCACAGGGGAGGATGGAGGAGATGTACATTTAGGTCCTTCTTAGCCCAAGGGGGATTACTCAATGTTCAGTCCAGGCATTCTCTTGTTTTCCTTTGCCAATCTTCTACCCTTGCAGGTCCATGGATCCAGATTCAGCGACGGGAGGGGAAAATGCCCTTTTAATCATTGGAACCGTCATCATGCCTTGGCTTACCTCATCCCTAACCTCAAAACTCCTTGTGTCCAATAGGAAAGACTTATGTTTTGCTGTAAAAAAACAGGCATGTTGTCTTGTTTTCTTCTCTTCCTCTTCAGTAGCAGGTTTGGAGGGGGTTGAGGTTGTCCATCAGGAGTCTGGGTCTTTATTAAACTGTAGAGGAGAGGTCCCAGGTGGGTATAAGGAGAAACCTTTCCACCCTAATGACAGTGGAGAAGGTCAAATGGAG